TGAACAATATAATTATTTATTTATCGATACGTTATTTAATACATTGTGTGCCATCGATCTGTTTTAATTTATAATAACTGCTAAATCACACCGTTTAAATAAAACGAGGTGATATTAATTATAACCTGGTGATTGTGTTTTGATTTTTTTATATATTTTTTTGGTTTGTGCTACATGTTCTTAAATAATACATATAACTCTGTTTTTTTTCTCAGGTAAGATTTCGACAGACGATGACAGAAGAAATGCAGATGACGTCCCATACCAATCTATTTATTTTACTAAAAAAAGTTTCTAATATTTTTTAAGTTACCTTTGGATCGGTTTAAATATAAAACCGTCATGCGTCGTCTCTTGTTGTTTTTAACCAGTTTTATTGGTTTATTTCAAAAATGACAGATCATATTTCAATTTTATTGGCTTGACGAAAGGATGAACAACAAACGGACACCGATGCGTATGAACTCGCCTTTAGATTTTTGAGGCTTGTCAAAGTCTTGCCAAATTATAGGTTATAATTTTGTGTCAACTTATGTCAAATATCTCCGTTTTGGAAGATGATGATGCATTTTGATTTGTGTTATTACGTGTGTTTTGTGTCTTTTGAAGTCAAGTGGAGGAAACATCGAGGGAAAATTAACTGTAGACCCAGGAGCACAGTTTATAGTTAATACTCGCTGCCCAGGCAGAAAGTCTTATACACCAATAAAGTTTGTATACCATCTCGTCGTAGATAAGTGCTTCTCGTATATGCTACAAGGATCGTACTAAATTTATACTTAATATACTACTGGAATAGTTGTAAAATATCGACATCATACGATATGTAAATAATGGATTTTAGTACTGCAGAAAAATAATGTCAACAGGTACTGGTTTAAAAAAATTAAGATTAAAGTTAATTAAACAACCTTATAAAATTTGGTGTTATTATTAATAAAATGGTTTGTTTTATTTATGTTGTTCTATTTATTCCTGTGGAATTTAAAAAAATTGTATTTGTACATAAGTTATATTGATAAATATAATACAAAATATGAGAAGTTTCTTGAGGCTTGAAATTCAGAAATAGTTCTTTTTCAGATCTTTTTGGTATGTGGTTGGTTTTGTTTTTGTTTGTTTTGTATTAACACATACCGTTTTTTTAATCAATTAACTCGATTACATTTTTTCAGTTTTATACAGTTTTTTTCACAATTTTTTGAAGTAATCACTAATTTCCTGCTATGCGTTCCAGTTGTACCAACTTATTTCTTTGTAAAATAAAATAATCTACTTTGAAATTAAAATGACAGACGCATATATTACTGTCAAGGATCTTGTCGTTGGACAGACTATACATAATTTCGTTGGCGAGAAAATGTCTCACCAAGAGGGTGTTGATCTTGGACTTGTAGTCTAATAAGCAATAAGTAGTCTAGCTATTCGTCTTGGTTTGGTTTTGCAGGTTCTTTGAATAAAAAGATTAAGGAAGGACTTTATCAAAAGCTTAAGAGGAGCGCAATCAGAGTGTAATATATATATAGTATACTTAAATTCCGGCACATCTGTGCCGTTTTAATTATTCAAAACGTGTAAAAATATAATGTAGGGTAAACGCAGTAGTTTGTTGGTTTTGTCTTACGTTGTCAGTAACTGATATTAGTTTTTAAAATTGGTTAAAAATATATTTCTAAAAATAAAAATTTATACGATCAATACGCTGATAACTGCGCTCTAGTTGCAAAAACGTTACAGCAATTAAAATAAATGCTGAAAACACATATACCTGGGCATATGAGGCTTTGGGCCTTAAGCTGAACATCGATAAAACTAAAATCTCCCCCGGAAAATCATAACAGTGCTATAAAAATCGGAGAGGAACTATTAGAATATGTGGCGGAATTCAATTACCTTGTCAGTTCGATTTCGGAAAAGCCCAACATCGACTCTGAAATTCAGTAGGTACAGAATTATCAGCGCCTCAAGAGCATTCTGGAAATTAAAAGACAGAGGTTTCTACAATTATGACTGGACCACAAAACTGAAATTTGCAGTGTACCGAGCAATAATAATCCCCGCCATGTTATGTGGAAGGGGACTCTGGTTGAAATCATGATTACTAAATCCCGCTTAAGATGGGCTGGCCACGTATGCAGGATGTATTGAAAACCGCCTACCGAAATCTCTTCTCTACGGTGACGTTGTAGACGGCAAGAGGAAACCGGGTGGACAACTTAAAAGATACAAATATATTTTCCATAAATTCTTAATAGTCTAAGAGCTGGCTACATAAAAAACCTTATCATCGTTACATGGCTAATTTTTCATGTGAAGTCTCCTTATGTGTAGCCATTATGAAATAGTCATGTCTGCCGGGGCGATCCCGGAGCTTAAAGCGAGGACGGCCAATCGAAAGGTTGAAATTTTGACACTAAAAATATTATAAGGTACACGAGTTATAATTGCGAAAATAGCTTTTATTTATTATTAAGGAACGTGAAAAATTGTTCGCAGACATTTTTCTTGTCGCTAAAATGCCGGCAGACAACGCGAAAGGATACAGGCATGAAATTTTGGAAAAAAATATGGCTCACGTGCATGTCGATTTGTGGAGTGTCATATTTATTCAGTTTAAAAGCCGTATGCAGAAGGGCAGACAAAATGATCGTGGCTAAATCAGCGGCAGACAGTTATCAAAAGCGCGATATTACTCTAGCGCTTTCAGGGAACGCTACCCGACTTGAAAATCGTGCATTTTTTAAAAATGTTCCTTTATATTTTAGAAAACTTTGTATAACTGCCTGTTCACCGCAAATTTACCCACGGTATAATTTTTTATTCTACCATGCTTAGGCTTTACTCTATGGTTACGAACTTGTTACAACACTAAAAGAATGGATGCAAATACAGAAACAAACAGGTGACTCATAAATCTTTCTAAAAATGTCTTTTTAAATTTTCAAACTTGGACGGTTATTACAGTTGAGGGTTGGAACCTTTGGTGTTACACAGCAAAATAAAAACACTAAATCACCACAATACACCAAAACACTTTTACTTTTACACTGGACGCGCGTTTCGCTAACCATGTTAGCATCATCAGCAGATGATTATAAACTGTTTATAATCATCTGCTGATGATGCTAACATGGTTAGCGAAACGCGCGTCCAGTGTAAAAGTAAAAGTAAAAGTAAAAGTGTTTTGGTGTATTGTGGTGATTTAGTGTTTTTATTTTGTTGAACGGTTATTTTGGACTCATTTGAAAAACGGTAAAGAGAAAATATATTCCTTTTGTCGAGATACCATCCCTGAACATATTTGCACTTATCCAAGACTCACCCTGTAGAGTAATATCGCGCTTTTCATAACTATCTACAGCTGATTCAGCCACGATTTTTTTCATCTGCTCTTTTGCTTACGGCTTTTTGAGTAAATAAATATGACTTTCCACCAATCGGCATGCATGTATGCGATTATTTTTTTTTGTTAAAATTTCATGCCTCATTCGCGTTTTCTGCCGGCATTTTAGCCACGAGAAAAATGTCTGCAAACAATTTTACACCTTTTTTAATAATAAATAAAAGCTCTTTGGCAATTATAACTCGTGTATCTTATAATATTTTTAGTGCCAAAATTTCACCCTTTCGATTGGCCGCCCCTGCTTTAAGCCCCGGGGTCGCGCTGGCAGACATGACTATTTCATAATGGCTACACATAAGAAGACTTCACATGAAAAATTAGCCATGTAACGATGATAAGGTTTTTATGTAGCCAGCTCTCGGTCTATAAAGAGGATAAGCATGCAGAATCGGTGGGAGGAGGCAGCGCACAAAATTATACGGTATTTTCCGTTAAGCTTGAGCTATGGAGTGTAGAGGTAAGGAGAAACAACTCCGTGCATTAAAAAATGGTCAAAAAAATGGAAGAATTAGGATGGCGCTGCTGTAGCAAAAACCTAAAATTTAAGACATGCGCCGAACATTTTTAGAACAGCTGATTCAAAAGACATAAATATTTGACGTGAATCATATACGTGAAGCCGCGGGTTTCAAAAAAATACAAATTTATTTTCATGTCACATGAATAAATTACAGATTTTTATTCAGCAGCAATAGACTAGGCTCTTTTTTTATTGCTCTCATAAGTTATTTCGCAAATGTCATTCAAGACGACGAAAACATTATTCTGATCGTTTTAGCTTAAAATTAAAGTTAATTATAATTAAGAAAAAAAAATATTTAAAGTAATAATTGGTGATGGGTTTAAAATAAATATAATGCAGCTTTAAAATAACTTCATACCTACATTTATTTAGTATAAAAGTAAGTCAACATGTGTTTTTATTATCGATTATTCAGAAGCAATAGACTGAGCCTCTTTTTTATTTTTTCTCATAAGTTATTTCGTAAATCTCATTCAAGATGAAAAAAAGCTTTAGTTTAAAATTAATGTTAATTATAATTGGGAAAACTTTATTTAAAGTTTAATTGATGATATGGGATTTAAATAAATATAATGCAGGTCAAAAATAACGTAACACATTTTATTTAGTATAAAAATTAAGCCAATATAATGTAATTTTATACTATACAAGTATTTATTTACGTTTTGCCATCGTAGTTGCCATTCATTCAGAATAGTGGATTTTAAATGTTCGATAGTCGGATGGCTTAACTACCTTAATATCAACTACTTCTAGACAAGAATCGTGTGCAGTATTATCTTCTTTTTCACTCCCAGCTATTCCAACATGGCTTGCATGGCTTGGGACGTGGAATAATATAATTGTATAGCCCTTCCAGATCCTCATGTCTTCCTTGTAGTTCACCCAATAGAATCGTTCTCGCAGCTTCCTCCCAAGTTGGTAGTTGCTATTCATTCAGAATAGTGGATTTTAAATATATTTGGTAGTCGGATGGTTTAACTTTTAACAATAACTACTTTTAATAATTCTTTTTCTCAATTCTTTGCACTATAATTTGCATCCCACGTATTGTAATATTTTCTTTTGAATTTCGTTTCCTATTGTCCCATGGCTTGAGACGTAATGTTATAGCCCTTCCAGATCCTCATGTATATCCCTTTTCCTTGTAGTCCACCCAATAGAACCTTTCTCTTAGCTTCCTCTCAAGTTGGTAGTTTCCATTCATTAAGAATAGTGGATATTAAACATGTTTCGTACTCGGATGGTTTAACTACTGTAACATCATAAATAAATTGTATACCAACACATAATGGCCAAACTTCAACAGACTTTAATATTCATAAACCTCATCAGAAGAAAATATTTTTTGATCCAAAGTTTTTTTTTTCGTTATTAGAATAAATTACCTGGAATTTGTTAATTCATTACAACATTGAATAAAAGATGCAAAGTGTTTATACATACCATGATAGATAAATCTTCATTTAAAATTATGTGATAGATCTGCTTGCTTGTAGGATCTAGACTGATAAACTCAATTTCTTTTATTGATATAACCAATAAAGTAGTAATGCTGAAATTTTGTTTTTGATTTGTGCAATAAGGTCCATTATTTCCATTATTTGATGCTGTTATTGCTCTACAAAATGTTGATCTCTATCAAGGGATGTTTATGTGTATAATATTACTATTTATGTGTATAATAATACTGTATGATCGAAAAAACACGGCGTCCAGTTGGCTTGGAATGACATCTCGATGACATTCTCCATATCATTTTACATATAAAATGACAGCAATCTTCATTTCATAGGCATCGCTGACGCTGTTTTTTATTCAATCAAATTGTACTTACGTATATAATATTCATTTAATGGTTCCTGTTTTAGTTGCTGGTGTTCATATTTTCGTTTTTTATTCTGTTGTTGCTCTACAAAATGTTAATATTTATGTGTATAACATTACTCTTTCTTTGTATAATAATACTTATGTGTATAATATTCATTTAATGGTGCCCTTCTTGCATTTAAATTAACCTGAGGCAGTAGGTAGAGCTTCATCCTCCAACATTTTCCTATGTAAATACTGCAAGTGGACAGTATTTCTGATGACAGTTTTATCATAAACTTTAACATCTTGTTCTTTAAAACGAAACTGCCATACCTTATCTGTAGATTTCAAAGCAATATCTAAATGCTTTTGACCATCGCTGTAATCTAATTCTTGTTTGAAAATCAATACCTAATATTATCGTGATGATTTTGATTTTTGACAGATTATTAAAATACAGCACTTACAGTTAACTATATTTCTTGAAAGTACCTACAACTTTATTTATTTCCTACTTTTATTTGTTTAAAAAAATGCCAACAATTTGTGCATGTCTGACAAACTTTAAAATCATTAAAAATAAATTTTATTCAGGTTGTAACTTTATAGAAAGGATTGTAAAAATATACTTTGTAACATGTATGTCAATAATCTTACGAAAAACGTTTACTACACTTTTGATTGACTCTAATTTTTACATATAATACAAATAATACAATACTGAATTATATTATGTATTTTACAGGCTTTGCCTTTGCTCTTTATTTTTCCATCAGCTATTCAATCAACTTCGCACCACACACACTTTAACAATTGTTAAATAATAAATAAAGCACAAAATATTGATAAACAATAATTATTTTATATTCTAAAAAATAAAAAAACTTTTTTGGGTAATGTTTGGTTATATTTATTTTTTTTCTCTTATCTATGGTCACTTTTCATTTTTTAGATTTATGCGTTTTTAGCGCCACTGTGGTCATTTGGCGAACCCTTATTCTTCCCATTTTGTGACCACTTTTTCAATAAAAGTCCCATAAGAGTTATTTCTCCTTACCTCTACACTCCATAGCTTGAGCTAGGAAATTTGGCAAGTAATACCGTCCTATAGTCTAGGGAAATATCTGAAAACTATACATTTGTATTTAATTCATATAAATATAGTCTTTATGCGTAACAAGATGTAAAAACTTTGTTGGAATATTATTGCTAGAGAAATGTTACCAAATTTCTTGGCTCCCAGTTTCAAAGCTAGCTTCTCTTTTTCGCTCCATGTATATTTTTTTTTGGGTCTTTTGATTCGGAAGAAAATCGATATCTCTTGTGGCGTGTTGCCAAACCGTTCGTGTATCTGCATGGACGCGTGAAATTCTTCTTCCAAAGTGAATGTAATAAACGTAAAAGAACGGAAATGTTTCGGAGTTGTAATTTTTGTGAACGTTTTATTTCGTTCCACTCCTTCTCTTACGATATCGCCTTCCGTAGAATGTAACAGCTGCATTTTGGTTGTAATTTAGCTTATACCTATATCATAACAAAAGTATTTACAACGTTATTTGATTTTTAGTGTAAGCTGTCTAATTTATTTAGAAATTGTCCCAAAATAGAGATTCTTAAAAAAACAGGACTATGGATTTTTTTCGCGAAAAATAAATTGTTAATTTTGGGAATGGATTCATTATTAGTTATAATAATAATAATAGCTCCCGTATATAGCGTTTAACGCCTTGGGAGTAGCAAGGTACAGCTTGCTATACTAGAGCCGTTCGGTATACAAGGAAGGTAATGTGGCTAGCACTACGTTTCAACCGCCTATTATTATCTCAGGATTGTGAATCCCAAGTACTCATTTAAGGCTGAGTCGACCTAGGTACCCAAACTATTTTTATTTTAATAAAAATAGTCGGCTGATGACATGCCGGGTGTGGGAATCGAACCCACACCTTGAGATTGGTAGACAAGAGCCTGTACCTCTACGCCACCGGGCACCATTATCATTATTAGTTAAAAAACGTTATATCTTGATAATATGGCAACATAGGTAGTAAGATTTTCAGTATTTCACAAAATATAAAGTTTTATCCATTTTGAACCACTATCATTATTCTAAGCTATGTTTTCTATTTTATAGCAAGATTATATTTGAAGAATGCATATTTTTATAAATTATTTTTGTTTAAAAAAATCTAATTATTTTTTTTATTTGCAGGTATGTCATAAGAGATTTAGAAAACGGTTCCTTAGAATATAGGTAAGTTTTTTGTCTATATAGAAGTACAATTAATTTAAGGTGTGGTATATAAATAAATAAAAGATACATGTTTTTTATTTACCACTCTTAAAATAAATTGAAAATAAAAGTTAAACAGCCGGCACCAATCGGAAATTACGTCTTGACGTCTTTCAGCCTAATCGATGCCCTGCGTTGCCAAATGAACAAGAAACTACCCATACAGCACATCAGATCACATTTACGATGTGTTACGTAGACACAGGGTGACACAATTCCCCCGATGTAAATATACTACGTTTACACATTGTAGTTCAACACGTATGCACAAAGGTTAAACGTCCGCCTCACAATGTAGCCACAGTATAGCATTCACGTATACACAAAGTAAGGGGTACACAGTGTGCCGTAGGATACACAGTACTTGTGTATTACGTTTAAACTCTGTTTACGCATTGCAGTTGTGACTACCGCGTGTATACGTATGTATTTTGCTTCGTATATACATCTTGTGCTAGATAAAACTACTTCTTATGAACGAAAGTTTTGATGCCTAACTTTTCGTTCTTTTTAAGAAATATTTATTCAATGACACCAATTATATCTTTATAAAACGAAAATTAGGAAGGCAAAACTTTGTATTTTCCAAACGTATCTCGATCGTAAGTTCAAGAGAAGTAGCCTTAAAATTGTTCAATTTTGTTTTGTATTAAATGTACCACTTTTCTTCCATAAAATGGATTAAGTGGTTAAAAAATAAAATTCTTATATTTCTTTATATCATGAAACGCAATATCGCAAATAACACAATAATAATAATTATTTACACTGCAGAAACCAGAAGTAAGAAAACACAGAACAGAATTTGTATAAAATGTATTAAAAATATAAGTACCTATTATAACAATCATACTAAAATAGTAAACACTGGTATATCGCCACGATTTGATGGACCTCATTTAGTCATTTTTTTCTGCTCTTTTCCCTCCAAGCAGTTGGTTTGTTAGCATACTCATTCAACGAGCACTCTGTTGGACTTTGTTGTATTTTATTTCCAGATTAACAATCTCACCCTTAAATTTTATATGAAACTGATTATTGAATATTAAATATATATGTATATTGATCCATCAATAACTTACCGAATATCAGTGTAAGAAGTTCTTTGAAGTGTTTAAATCTTTCTTTCGCTGGTCCATTTAGATTTTTATTATTTCCAAATTAAAAAAAATTATATTGCAGAGCTAACCTCTTTATCATTATACGAGAATATTTGGAGTTTTCATTCATTGGAGTCAAAATTTGGTAAATTGGGTATCGAGTAAGGGAAGAGTCGCTGCTATAATATTAATAATACTCTTAGGAAGGTATAACAAGGTAATTAAAAACTTGTGCTTACCTTAAAATCTCTTTTGAACTACACACAAACAGAACATTTATATAGAGCTTCCGAATGATAAAACAATAATGGCTGCTAACACATACCACTCCTAGAAAGGAGAAAGGAGAGAGGACACATAAGATGCACTTGGTCGGTATGTCTACGCTGAGGCTATCCGTGCGTGCGCACACCTTCATTTCATGCTAGAATGTAGACACAACAGTAAACTATTACAAAGTGTCTATATAGATATTTATATTATGTGTATACGTCACATTTTTACAAGGTGTGTACTATAGGCACAACTATGATACGAAGTATCACACATACATATGACTTATACATTTTATGTCTTATGTATCGACGTCAGATTTCATCATTTTAATAATTATTTGTTACCTTACAAAAAACTCTTTAGAATCTTGAGTGCATACGGTATACAACTAGTAAACACTGTATCACACAATTATATCAATATAAACCTGCGTGTATCTCATATGTATATGTTAGACTAGATGAACACTTAGGTTCACTTAACATATTTTGTTTCTCATGTGTCTCCCTTGTAGAAACGTAATTTTATTTGGACGTGCTGTATAGGTATATACTTAATTAAAAACACTTGCTAATATGACGATAACATATTCTCCAATTAATGTCACGATTTATTCTTTCAGTGAACTTTAAAATAGCCGTACCAGTAGTGTATTAATTGCTGTTAAAAAATAACTACAGCGCCTTTTTCAAGAGCTATTCAACATTCAAATTTAAATTAATTTTTTAATTTATGGTGTTAAAAAGTAATATTACTGTAAATTTATATACACAAATATGCAGAATGTGGGCAACGTGAGAGGTTGCAACATTGAAATGCACGTGTAAGAAAATACAGTAAGCTGAACCTGCGACATTAAATTATTTTAGAATTTTTCCGGAAAATGTAAATTCTTGAAGATCTTTGTGAAATCTTGGTCGAACGATTTCTAACAATGGATGCATCTACCAGGAGATGTATCTACTTGCACTTATTTAAGAGATACCCTGTTCTTTCTAGGCTTACTATGGCCCCACGTTGGGCGCCAAATGTATAACACGTACAACTATTAATATTTTTCGGCTATTTAAAGTGTACCTACGTTGGAGTTAAATAAAATAATGATAATTTAAATTAATGGCCTATATTTTAAGTACAGTAACATTAACAATTATGGCACTAGCTGTGACACTTGATAATACAAAACAGAAAAAAGTGGTACATAAATTTTGCTATGCTTCTGCTCTTCCTGAAAAAAGCCTGAAGTGGTTTGTTATACGGATATAATATAGATACTATATAAAAAGGAAAATTATGGTTTTTGGTTTGGCTCCACTATTAAACCAATGCACAAAATTAATAAATAATAATCAATTTCAAATTCAAATATCTACACTAGATGAGTCTTAAATAAGTGCAAATATTTTGACAGGGTTGCTAGATCTCGATAAAAGAAATATATTTTCTCCTTACGGTTTTTCAAATAAGTCCAAAATAACCGAGATATTTTACTTTGAAAATATATAATAAAATATTTTTTGTT